ATTCTCTGTGTGATATCCTAGATGCCAGAGAAATAAAGATACATAAAAACACTTCTAATAAGAGATGGAATGCTATACTAGAAAAGAAAAATGAAAGACTCTTACCAAAAAATACGGTAAATGCTACATATAAGAGTGTCTCACCTCCTTAAGAACATTGGGAAGGCACTGCAGAAGAAATAACCAGTAAAAAATTAATGAATATTTGGCAACAGAATAAAGAAGAGAAAGGGTTAAGATCGGTGAAAGGGAATCATATGTGCAAAAGAATGGAGCCATGGGCATCACCACACAAATTGGTTCATACTTGGTTCAACTTTAGGCTGCAAGTGTGGGTTATTTCAGAAAATCTCAGGAAAGGTAGCTAGAGCTATTGGAGGAACTTTAACTACCTTGCAAGGGAATTTAGACCTTAACCTGATGAGCAATGAAGACAGATTAAAGAAATGATATAAGATTGATTGGGGGAAATCTCCCTCTTATAGGAGAGCTGGAAGCCACAGATCCTGAGTCTTGCATTGGAATGGACCAGGTAGCAAGTGTGTACGTGGGGCAGTGGTTCAAAGTCTGAACTTTATAGTCAAAGAAATCTGAAAATCATAGAGGTAGCCTAGTACAGATGATAACTTTCTCTAAATCTTAGTTTTCAGATTTGTAACCTGTTCTGGAAGCTAGCAATTTTTTTTTCTGTAAAGGCCTAGACAATGAATATGTAATGCTTATGGTCACACCATCTATTTTGCAACTACTTTGCAACAAAGTATTTTGCAACTACTTTGTCTGCACTGCAAGACAAAGACAGCCATGGACAATACAAAGCAAATGAGCATGGCTGTGCTCTCATAAAACATTAAAGGCACCAAAACTTGAAATTCATATCATTTTCCTGTGCTATGAAATACTATTCTCCATTCAATTCTTGTCAACACTTAAAAATGCAAAGCCTACTCTCCGCTCGAAAGTCAACCAAAATCAAGTTACAGTGCAGATTTCATGGCATGTAGTTTGCTGAAGTGATCTGTCGTGTAATTATCATGTTGGGATAATTTGTAGTTTCTACTTGGTAGGGGGTGTTATAAAATAATGTAAATATGTTTGTAATATATATAAAACATAACATAAATTCCTTAGCAAAGTGAAAAACATGTAGTATATGGTGAATAAATACAAGTAGTACCATTAGCATTAAATAGGGAATTACCCAGAGCATCAGGGACAGAGGAGCATCGAAACAGATTAGGAAGGGAAACCTCAGTGGGGTGAGGGTGACCGATTCAAGACAAAGATACTGACTAAAGTGATGGTGTCTACAAGCACCCTACAAGTTCAGATGTTTTGACCAGAAACAAGAAAACTGAAGGTGAGATTGGAGGCAGAAAAGTAAAACTTATCTTAAAAACTTTTAAGAGTAAAACTTAAAATGTTCGAGGAAAAAAATAGTGAAGAGAGTCCATGTGAGGGTCAGCACCCCTCCTAAGCTAGGGGTAGCTGCTGCCTGCCCACTTCTGTGGTCTTCTTAAACCTGTGTGGCTATGATGGCAGGTCAGGTCTCAAATCATCTTCTACACGTAAGGCAGTGCTCTGACCTGCATGCAGGACTTTTCCTTTCTTCCTTCTCCTGCCATCAGAACCGAGTGTCTAGGGCCGGGGATTTAGCTCAGTGGTTCCGGCGCCTGCCTCGCAAGTGCAAGGTCCCGAGTTCGATCCCCGGTACCAAAAAAAAAAACCCACCACCAACAACAAAAAAAACCGAGTGTCTAATCTCAAGTTCCCATTCCTCAAAAGAGTTGTGTTGGGAGAGACATATTCTTAGGTCAGTCACAGTAGCAAAGACTGCTGGTTCCTACTCAATTGCTTCTTCAGTTTCTAGTTCAGCAAAGCTGCAGCCTCAGATACATGTCTTAGCAGATACTACCAAATATCAAATATTTCAGCACATGCACGTGCGCATGCTCACACACACACACAAAATGGTGACTCCAAAGGAAAACATAGGACAAGACAGTAAGAATGCAGTTTGTGACAAAGATTGTATCACAAGTTAGCAGGAAAAGGTTGAAAAACAACAAGCAAATAATGAAACAATTCTAAAGAAAGAGAGTCTGAATGGCCAATAAGCATATTAAAAAATCTCATGAGTAGGAAATGAAAATAATGAGACAAAATTTCACACACCTCAGGGTGGCAAAAATAAGAAAAATGAATGTACTGCAGAAAAATATGGAGAAACAAGAACTGTCACATTGCTGAGAGGTATGTGAACTGGAAAATCATTAGGAAACACGTGTCTTGCTTGGTTGAAGAGCTGCATACCCTGCCATACAGGACTTCTAATCTAAGACATGTCACATATATTTATTGTGCAGTACTCATAAGAATGGGTGTTTGAAAGCAACCTCTCTACCAAATGAGTAACAGATAAATTATACAGTTTATATAAGGGTAAAATAGACACTAAAGTTTCCAAAGATGATTGCATCAAGATGGATAAATCTTAAGGCAATATTAGGTTATAAAAGAAAGCTGCAGAATGATATGTGTGATATGACACTATTAACAAAATGTATCAAGCCATGTATACATTTGTATACATATATAAAAAATATATTTGGGACAGGGATTTAGTTCAGTGGTTTCACCACCTGCTGTGCAAGTGCAAGGACCCAAGTTTGATCCCCGGTACCAAAAAAAAAAAAAAAAATATATATATATATATATATATATATATACATACAAATATTTTTTAAAAACCTAAGAATATGCATGAGAAGTTAACACCAAAGTCAGAATAATAACAGGTCAAATAAGCTGTGTGAAGATGTTTTGACTGTATTTTATCATGTTTTATTTCTTTGAAAAATTTAAAAAAATCCGAGATAAGAGAAAGTAATTAATAAACAATGATAAGTGATTCACATTTTCTAGAAACTTCAGTTCTCTTCCAGTCTGGCTCCCCAAATAAAGACAGAAAATACAATGGGAGTAGCTGGCAGGGAAATAGCATTGAATTTATGTTAGCACTTAACCTTGTCATCATTGAAATATAGGTAGGTAATAACAGCTCTAATTAATGCCACATCTCTTAATTTCTTAAAAGAAAAATAATGAGGCACATAACTGGAGAGCTAGTAGAATATTTTAGACCATTTTTTGCACGTGAGTTTTACTAAAAGTAGTAATTCTTGGATAGAGCAGGCCTCAGTAAAGCCAGCACAGAGTTTAGGATTCATAGCTAGCCTGAGTCATTTACCTTGAGTGGAGAGAAATATATAAAACAAACCTGTGAGCAGGCATTTTAGAAATTCTCTTAGTTTAAAGTTTAAGTAGTTTGTAGCAGAAAAAAAATAAATACTTCCTCATATATGGCTTGAATTTCAAAGTTTGGCTGTGGCTTTGATGTCCAGACTTCAGGCCTCGGGGCAAACTGACTTGTCTTCTAACTTCTCTTTTCAGTCTAGGGAACCCTGGTATTTCCTAGGGTGTGGAACAGGACAGCAGCAGTAAAGACAAAAAGTAACTGCTTTGCTGTTGGCTTTCATTCTCCTTCTCCTACATCCAGAGTCAGTAGCTGGATTTTGTAGTGTCCCCGGATTCGTGATTAGGCTGGTTTGGAAAAAAGACTTTCAAATCATTCCAAACTTAGGGAGATTTGAACTCAAACCTCAGCGTCTTCAGAGTGGACTGGTTTGTTCACGTTGCATATAAGTGAGTTCACTCTGAAATGGGACCTTTCTGTAGGAAGTCCAGTTTGCTGAACCATTATCACATGCTACCATCAGAAGGCCCCCTTAACTTTTTCATAAATTTTGGCTTGGTTTTATCAAAAAATTCCAGAAAAAAAATCAAAGCTTTAACATGTAACTTTATCTCTCATCCAATCTCTTCATCAAAAGCAAAACTAGGTTAGGATGTTGAGAAAGTGAAATACGTTCAGTTACAGATTGAGACAAATTCCGTTGTCAATAATTACTTGTTCAATGGATTAAGTCAAATTTTGATTTTTTACATTAGTGCAACTGAAATTTTAAAAGGTAATATTTAAAGATTTTGCTTTAGTTCAAGCTTAGATGTTGTCCAAGAAAATTCTCCATTTGAAAACTTTGAATCAAAATTATTTTTTCAATAATACAATATTTGACTCCAAGCTAAATTATTTAAAGTATTTTTAATAAAATTAATATAGGTAAAATGTATTCAATTAACATAGGTAAAATTTTATTCAAAATTTATTCAATTAATACAGGTAAAATTTATTCAATTTATTATTAGCTCCTTCAGGAGGGCAGGGAAGTGTGAGTATTTTATAAAAATTTTGCCAAAGGATGGGATGTGCAAGAGATACAGATATATCAATCTTTTGTGAGTGTTTTAAAAATTTTATGGTAAATTAACAACTTGTGCAAATCAGAAATATATTTCTAAGCTTCTGTAGAGTGGTTTGATAACCATATAGACTGTCATTTTCAGAGCCCTGAATGATTTGTAATTTTGTATAGAACATAGGAAATAAATGCTAAGTTTGCATTTATTGGCCAGAGCCAATAAATTGACCAGAGCCAAAGCATATTTTGTTACTGGTTTGTTATTAATAACAAATTTTCTTGGTAAGAGGAAAAGAAAAATGAACTAGGAATCCAAGGATATAGACCCTGCCACAAACTTGTTAAATTGCTCATGTCGAGTAATTTAAAGTCTCTGATTACATCAGGTCTATCTTGACAGGGATTTAATATTTGCTCTTCCTACATCTCAGGGTTGTTGCAAGTGGAAAAATGAATATGAAAGTTCTTAGAAAAGCAGAAAGCACCATAGAAAATGTACTTTATTAGTTATTCCTAAAGAGAACACTCACATCATGAGAACTGACAAGTCTATACTTAGAGAACATTAAAATATGAATAAAGTTTCCTTAGTGAAATGCTTGGTACTTCCAAGAATTGATGATAGCCTTTCTCTCTCTTTTCCTTTTCCCCATTTCTGCATTTTCTTCCCTTCTGTAGAACCTCTGCCTGTGACCAGTGTTTCAATATATGACTACAAACCTTCTCCTGAAACAGGAGTCCTGTTTGAAATTCATTATCCAGAAAAATATAATGTTTTCACAAGAGTAAATATAAGTTACTGGGAAGGTAAAGACTTCCGGACAATGCTTTATAAAGGTAAGAGGCAAAAGGAATGGTGAATAAATGATGATGATTAACTTTTACATGACATTTTCCAAATGATTTCTTCCCTCACTCCAAAGAGATTCTATAATTCACTACTTGACCCGCAAATGAGCCATTAAAAATAGTTACTGATTCATGGAAATCTTGTTATGAGGAGTATTAAAACATCTGGCTCATTAGTTGAGAATCACAAGTCATGCATACCATAAGAGAAATACTCAAATTATTTTCAGTCATACGTTATTTTTGCCAAAGGCAGCATATCTGTTGCAGGAAATAAATTCAAAGAAGTTTAAAAGCAACCTCATCTAGGGCAATAGAAGGACATTTGTAAGATTAGGTATCAAGAGGGCTGCTTCCCACCAAGTTTCTTTTTTTTTCTTAAGTAGGAAGATATTTATGGATAGGAAAGTTCCTGAGGGGGAGGAGCGGTCCCGAGTGGGGAGCCCAAGGACTCCTCTTTACAGAGAAGTTTTATATGGTGAAACCCACATGGGTACAACATGGGCCACAGCCATGAACTTCCAATAAGGTTACAAGTACAGTCATTTAGGTAATGGCGGTCCAGTCGGGAAGCGAATCACGTAACAAGCATAGAAGGACTTTCAGTAAGGGTGGGGGTCAGGGATATTTCCTGGAGAGGCTGGGTTAAGACCTTGACAACTCCCCCACCCAGATGATTGATACCTATTTAGAATATCAATCACTGCTATTTATCCCCAGGGGAAGCATAAGGGTGTATAATTTCTCTCCTTTTACAATTCTTTCTTTTTTTTTTTTTTTTTTTTTTTTTTTTTTGGTACCAGGGATCAAACTTGGGTCCTTGCACTTACGCAGCAGGCAATGAAACCACTGAGCTAAATCCCTGGCCCTCCTTTTATAATTCTGGCCTTCAGTGAATGTGCCTTGGGCCACAATTGTCCTCTGTGCAGAAGGCCCAGCCCTGTATAACCAGCTGTAATATTTATAACTAACTGAGCTGTCTACAATACCAAGAGCCCCCAATAACCTTCCAGCAAATCCCCTTGGCTTAGCTTGGTCTGTCCCTTTCTGTGTGTACAGCCAGGAAGTCTGGTTGATGTGGTGCTGTGATTTGTTTCACCTTTGTCCTGGCCTTCTTGAGAACTTAGCCCTATCTGACTGCCTATAATATTTCTATCTAGCTCATCTATCTACAATATTTCCCCCTCTGAAAAAGTATCCCGAACTGCCATGAGAGGGCAAGGGGTGATGACCGCTCAAGCTACTTCAGGCTGAAGGGGGTTGTAGTTGTGGTTGGCAGTCAGGGATACCCTTCAGATGGTCTATCTAAAGGTCCTCAATAGGCATCATGCGTTTTTATCATGGGCAGGAGTATAGCTTTGAGTCTGGAGGAGACAAGGCCAGAAAGACAGTTAAGCATACATGGGCCAAACAATATGATTAACAGGAATATTATGAGTATAGCCAACAGATATTTCCTCCAGGAAGAGTTAGTAATAGCCTTCCACAGGCAGGATAAGGAGAAGTCTCAGGGAACTTCAGAATCCATCATCAGTTATGAGTTGTTTACAAGGTCAATCTGGTGGATCCTGGGAAAAGAATTCTACCACTTTTGTTGTTGGTTCCATTTGTATGACTGGAGTATGGCAGCCTCTAGGCAAGAAAAAACACAACTTTTAAGAAATTACAGCATATATAATCTAAGCATGAGTACACTAGAATGAAAGGGCAGGTTGGGAAGAAAATCACACTTAGAAATTGAAATAGTGACTGTGACCTACTGGCTCTTATAGATTCTACCATAGTTTTTTCCTAATGATCAATAACTGTGGTCAGCTACTGGTGTAGCTAGAAACTACCAGAAGGGGACAGTGACTGGAGTGACCTTTATTACTATGGCATTATTTTATACCTCTTTTGATTATTCTTTCCTCCTCGGTGTTTAAGACCAAGTTAAAGTGAGACCTGTGTTGATTAATATGAACCTCTTGCTGTCTATCAAGGTCAGTTAAGTCTCCTCAGGCATTACTTTGGAACCATGCATAGAGCTTCTCAGCTCCTGTGTCAGTGTCAGTGGTCAGGATGGGTCACGGCCTTGCTTGACCATGTTGCTTTCAGTGAAAGCATGGGAGCCTTTTCCCTCTTTGTGACCCTCCTATGGCACACGGTACATTTGTCCTCTTGTGCCCAGCAATCTCCTTGCTCAGGAGGTTGAGTGACTTACAAAAGATGTAGGATCCTGTAGGAAAGGCTCCTTTGTATCCTGGATCTTTGTTGACCTTGAGGGACCTGGGCCAAAATATTGGCTGTCCTCTTATCCCAGTTACCTTTTTAGTTTTGGTCTCCAAACTTTAGTTGTTGAACACCCAGAAGAGAAGATCAGTGACATAAGTATTTCAGTAGGAGCAGTGACCGTAACTATTATAATAGTTAAAACCTCAAGCACTTTTGAAGTATAAAGCACAGTTAGAGGGCTGTTATTTCTTACCAACCATGGTTGTTTTAGTAGTTGAATCCCTGCAGAATGTTAACAGACAACAGTTATATATTATAGAGAAACTTAAGAGCAAGAGCTACACATAGTATTTTAGCATGACAGTCATGATGACATTTTCTTTGTAACACATGTCCATCTTAGTATGGAATAGTCTTTTAGTCAAACACCTCCGTCTGATCACAAGACATGAAATGGCATAAATAAAACTCTCACTTGTTATCCTTTACTAGGATGCCATCTAAAGAGAACACAGATATTGGCCTATAAATGTATCTTAGGAGTTCATAATGTCTAGCCTCTAATTTTACTGTGTGACATTGTTTCAGCTGTTTGACCGAACATGCCTGAGTGTGGTGACACATACAACATACATCACTTAAGTTTTTAAGAAGACTATTATTTGACTGGTTATCTCATTTTGGCTTGACATGTACCTCTTATCACAAGTAGCTAGAGTGCTAGGGAAAGGCAGATACCTGAGTCAAAAAAGATCATTACCATAAACAATATCTTAGAGGACCTGTACACCCAGAAGGCATGGATGTATATACCATGAAATAACATAAGTATCAGTTACATGAAACCCTTTGTCCCTTAATTTTGTTTTGTACCAAGAACATTTTAAATAAAACTTTTTTTCCCACAGAAAACTTAGACTAATGTATACATATCACAATAATATGTTTAGCAATGTATTTCCCATGAGGCTATGGAAATTATTGGGGTCCCCTTTGTGAACAAAGGCTGGAATAAATTTTTCCAGGCAGCTGCTCCTTTATTTGCCAAGAGGAGTCCTGTCCAGTAGTTTTCCTAAGCCCAAGAGTCTTTATTTAATTATCTTAAAAAATTTTTAGATGATCTGTGAGAGCCAGATCATAACAATCAACACATTATTTTGACCAATGAAAGATTACCAAATTATACATAGAAAACAATATGTACTGTATTTGTAAAACCAGTTGACATTATTTGGATAATCTGGCAACCTGGGGGAAGCACGTCTTTAATTATATTTATGTATAAACCAACTTGAGTTACAGGCAGACACCCAAAAAGCCAAAAGAAAAAAACTCAAATGTAACACCTGTACTCATTTTAACAAATTGAACAGACAGACAGACAGACAGACACACACACACACACACACACACACACACACACACACATAAGACAATTTGTTTATAAACAAAAGTGCACTCAGATGTATTTGGCCAAGTTGAATTATAATAATTTTTATAATTTTTAGGTTTATAACGATGAATAAGACTAGTCAGAACTTTGTAAATTAACAGAGATCTCTTGCAATAAGAATTAAAAGAAATAAAAATCTTCTACACCTGTGAAAGGAAAAATGGTTTTAAGACAAGCCTGATGCTGGCAGTGTATCCAACTGGAATACCCGGCTACACAGGCTTCTCATTGTTGTTTTTATAGCCATAGTTGTTCGATAGCCACATGTAATTGTTTCCTTTAAAGGGACAAACTGTTAAATATCTCCAGGCAGTGTGCTCAGGCCAGGTTTTGGTGAAGAAGAAATGAGGTGACACTCTTTGAAGCTAAGTATGAATTCTAAACAGTGAGGGAAGAAGGCCTGTCAAGGCTCCAAACTGCTGTTCTGCAGATGTCTACCTATGACAGTTTTTTTTCCATTTTGAAAAAAAAAACAAAGGAAAAGAAGGCATCCCTGCCTATCCCTCTTGTTCTGTGCCCAAACTAAGGTGCTCCTTAGACTTTATCTCATCCAGTGCCAGTGGCAGCTGACTAGAGGTGTGGAAGTGGCCAGAGCCAGGTTAGCTGTTCTTACCATTCTCTAATTTTGCCTAAGGGCTGAAAGGCAGCTAAATCTGGACTAAAACTTTATATTTATTTCTTGAAAGCTTCAGGATTAAACCTAGACCAGTTTTCTATATGGCCCAGAAATAAATGAAGGCCAGCTTTACTCTGGAAAGATTCCAGGGAGGGGAGACTCACAATTCTGGAAGCTTTGTCTTGAAATCCAGCAGCCACAGAAGAGGGAAGTGCCTCAAACCAAACACTGTTGAGAACTGTTATTTCTCAGGGGCAGGGCAGTGGAGAAAGGACAGAAGAGTGCCTTTAAGTATGGCACAAGAACTAAATCTTAACCTTCTCGGGTGTAGAGGACATTTAGGATCAGGAACTTTTCCAGAGTGGATCTGCAATCTTTAGCAAAACATGTCTCTAGAGACAAAAGCTGATTGACTCCAACTGAATTATCAAGCAGGAAAATCAAACCAATAATCAAAGAACTCAAATGGCTGCTTTTTGCCCCTTGAAAGAGAATAAAGGTGTCCTAACTATATTGTTTAGGGATTTTTAAAGTTAATTATTTTGAATCTATAATATCTAATTTATGATTGAAATACCCTACAGGCTGTTGAGCAGCTCCCTGATGTTGTAGAAGCACTCCCAAAGCCATGTCCCACCTTTCATTGACATACAAACTGAAACAGTGTCCTGTAGTTAGGTACTTAGAAGTGCTTGTTTGAACTTCTGGAATGCAGTCTGGGACTGAGGTTCCCAGGTGTTTGTCTGTTGGGTTTCTCTACAAGCTAATAGAGGGGTCACACAATCTCACTATATCCTGCTATCTGAAGGCCACAAAGCCCTGTAATTTCTAGAAATCTCCTTAGCTGTTTTAGAGTCATGGGCTATAGAAAGGAAAGAATTGGCTTAATTCTTTCTTCCCCGAGTCTTTGGGTTCCCTTAGATATAATAAGGCCTAAATATTTTATCTCAAGGCTGCAAAGTTGTGCCTTAGATCTAGAAACATTATAACCCCTGTCAGAAAATTCAGCAGAGCCAAAGTCTTGGCTAGAAAGCTCTTCTGAGGGGGCACATAACAGCATACCATCTACATATTGCAAGACTGATTGGAAAAAACTATAATATTTCCTTTTATCAAATCAGGATCTAGGAATGTCCTCATCTTTTTCCTGATAAAAACAGTTGACATTTTAAAATAATTGAAGGGCTTAGTTCTTATCTTTCTTAGATCTTCCAGAAAACATGCCTGAAAATGTCTTCTATTTTAATTGACAGACCAGTAGGGTCTTGTATAGAAACTGCTTGTGTTCCAGTAGGAACCAGTTGTTTCCTTGGCTGCATGTCTTTTGAGCTTCCAAAATTAAGATAATATTTGTCTCTATATGTAGTAGCAGCTTGTAATACTACTTGTCTCTCAATGTTTGATTTAAGAGCAACATTACATCTTTCTAATCTAGTCCATACGTCTGAGTAAGTTCTTCAAAGACCTCAATGTACATATCAGGGTCATCTGAAAACTTTTAGATCTCATTTGACCTGTCTTAGATCACTGAGAGAAAAAGACACATGAACACAGGTAGTCCCATATTTGCCATTTACTTTCTGGCAGGGATATTGTCTTTGAGGGGTGTGAACAATATTAGCTATGGGTGGATATAGTTCTGTAGAGGTTTTAATAACAGTTGGCTTGGGAATTTCACCCTTAGATTCTAAAGGATAAGGGGGAGGGATCTCAGGCTCTAAAGGGAAAATGGGAAAAACTTCAAGTTTGGCCGGTAGGTGGAGCTTTCGTGGGGATTGCCTCAGAAACTTTGTCCTCAGGGTCCAAAAGGTGAGGGCAGAAAACCTCAGGTTTAGTGACAAGGACCAGGGGAGTCTGGTCTTCCTGCAGCTTATATTTACACTTTGAACACAAATCAGTATTATGTCTTAATGCAAAAAAAAGTTCTGGACATAAGGCAATTCTGACCATCTTCCCTCTTTTTTACAGTATAATTCTAGTTGTGAAATGGCATCATAATTAATACTTCCTTCTACATTCCATCCTGGCTCTAGAGGATAGGCAGGCCATGCATGGGTGCAGAAGAATGTTAGGCTGTTCTTCCTCGGTATGTGAGAATCGAACTTCTGCCAGTGTTTAAGAATATATTCCAAAGGAGTCAGAGACTTTGACTTGGCATTCCCACACTGTGGAAAAAACAAACAGAAACAAGGCATCCCTATGATTCTGATTGATTCCTTATGCTCCTAGAGTGTCCTCTAGGATCACAGCTCCATGGCAGGTGGCTGCTGTCTAGAGAGAGCCCAGAAGATAAATTGGACTGGAGGAGCCACCCTTTACCAAGTGCAATCTTACCTTCCCCAGGGAACTTGTGTTTTTACTCCCATATGAATTTCAAAAGCCCAAGATACAATTGATTTTAGTTGTAAAATCATGTCTTTTTGAAGGAAACATTATTAGCCAAACCAATAATCAAAAGTATCTAAGTCACTGTTTTCTAAATCTTTGAGAGAGAATGAGGCAGATAGATTAAAGGGCTGTGCCTTTTTCCTGCAAAAGAGATCGCTTTTAGAGACAAAAGCAGACCAAAGCCCCAGTGGATCTTCACCCTCACCCTCAAAGGAAATTGCCAAGACAGCTGTGCTGTCTGATCACCTAGGTAACCTCCAGCAGCAAGACAAAGACTACACCTTGTTCAAAGTTCACAAGGCACATTCATCAGGTCTCTATAAGCACATAGAAGAAGAGAAAAGCTGGCTGAGATCCCTTTTATTCCTAGTTAGCAAAGCACAAATGCAAACCATTTCTCTGATAGCTGTTCCATCTAAGGCCTCCTAGAGAGGTGTGGTGTAATAGTCAAGCAGCCAAAGAGTTCTAAAGTTAATTCTCAAGAGCTTCAGAGTTTCTAGCCTATTAAAGATTTGTCAAACAACCTCTACTGAGTTACTGTTTTCTATTTGTGTCTATCTTACTAGCATATAGAGAACAGTCCCATCCTCTAGCTCAACTCTTAGTGGAGGCTTCAGAAAGGGCCCTACCAGAATCGTTTCAGGTCGCTCTGAGACAGAGAATATCTGATGATCACTAAAAGGGTTACCTTTCACCTCACTGAGGAGTCCAGCTAGGGGACAATAGTTATGCAGAGATTTTTCTACTGATTACCCATTTGGGCTGTCAGGATCCAGTTTCCACTGGGGGACCTTCAAGAATCTGCCAGAGAGTGGCCCTGGCCATGACCTCTCAGTTGTCACTCCAGTTTTCACTAGTTCCACACAATCAGAGATCTGTCTCCTGAAAGGAATCTAGCTGCCTGTCTTGCCAGCATTTAGTCTATAATTTATTAGCCCAAGTGTTTTCTCATACATAAATGATAAGATCCAGACCTATGAAGAGAGAGAGAAGATTCTTCCTTAAACTAAATGTGTTTTGGTCCCTTAAGTGTTGTGCTTATGGAAATAGCTCCTTCTGGTTTCACCCAGAAGTCAGTTCTTTCCACGGGGTCTCAGGTGCAGTCTCCCCAGGAAGACTGTTGCCCAGAGCACTAAGCGGGGACATCATGTTCATGTGCTCTCCTGGATGGACAAAACCTCGATGTCTCATCTAACCCAGAGACAGGGTATGATACCTGATCTAAAATGACTTCCCTATCTTTGGCGTTGGGAGGAATGCTCATTTTCTAAGGACTTAACTTGAAGGTTCTTAGGAGAAAGACATTGAGTACTTCAGAGATCCTTTCTGACTTTACATGCCTTTGTAAAGGAGAGTATAAGATTGGCAGGAGAGATTGGAAATGAGACCAGGAAAGGTCTTTTCTTCTCATGCTCTCAGTGAGTTATTGAGACAACTTGCCCCTGAGTCGTCACTCAGCCTGGAAAAGCAAGCGTGGGGAATCTCAGGAGCTAAGACTGCCTCCCCACCAGTGGAAGATCAGACTCAGGTTTTACTTCCTTCCTTTAGTCTCCACTTAGAAAATTAAAACAAAAGCATGTTTAAAAAACAATCCATATCAAAGAAAATGAAGGAAAGAAACTAACAGCACCCTAAGAACTTGACTTGGTTCTTTTGAATACTTTGAATGATTTATTACTATAGGTTCTCTTTGCTTTCTCCTTTCCCCACAGGTTGCCATCAAACCAGTAACAGCAAGAAACCAAAAAATAGTTTTCATTTGCATTTGAAAATAATCTTGAACTATCTTCAAATGAAACTTGGTGGGGCTACCCACTCGGGACCCGAGTCTTGTTGTATATATTTACCTATATGGCCAACTTAACAAGAACATTAAATATACCAGACTTGGTTTCATTATTTTTACTGGTTTGACTCTAAAGTTTTACTTCCTTCTTTGAGCAGGTCCTGTCTGCATTGGCAGATAAAACACTATACTTAAAGTTAGTTTCCATACAGGAAAATATTTCCTGTAAAATTACTATTTCTTATGTCATAAAGTGACACAATACTTTGGTTTTTCATCTTTAAATCAGTGGCTAACATAAACCTAATCTCTATAGTTTCTGTATACACTAAAATTTTTATAATAAAAATGTAACCCCAATGTTGCAATTCCTTTCAAAATTCTAGCAGAAAAAGGGCTTTCAGGATTGAGTGTAAAGATTCAAAATTTCATCTCTAGCTTTCTAATTATTTTTTATGATCATGCTAGAAATTGAAAAAAATATTAATTTATAGATATTTAATTGCAATTGCTTAGAACTTTCTACAAGTGTGTGACATTTAGAAGATCCTTCTTTTAATGTAATTGATTTTTCTCTTCACAGATTTCTTTAAGGGAAAAACAGTATTTAATCATTGGCTGCCAGGAATATGTTACAGTAACATCACCTTTCAGCTGGTGTCGGAGGCAACTTTTAATAAAAGTACCCTCGTGGAATATAGTGGTGTCAGTCACGAACCCAAACAGCACAGAACTGGTAGGTCTTCTGAAAAATTGAATTTAGTGAAAAAAGATAATTAAGTTGTATATTGCCATATTTATCTTCTGTTTTTCTAAAAATATTCTTCAGCAAAGCTAAGAAAAAATAAATACATATTACCAATGATGTAAAAAATAGTTTCTATCACTGTAAGAGGAATGGAGCAAAATATTCAATGAGAAAAATCTAAAATGAATCAGTATAATCAGATGTATAATCTTTGAATTAAAGGGTTTATAATATTAACAAAAGTTGTATTAAGTAGCTTAACTGGATAGATAAGACATTTGTTATTCTATAACCTGACAAATTTCCAATAGCAGAAAAACAGAGAAGAGACATCCTAATACAGGTCATCAGATTATTAAAAGAAAATAGTGGAATTCTGATCTGTCTAAAACGTGCAGCGGTTAATTTTAGTAGCATCATTACTAAGAATTATTATAGTATGGATGGATGCATAAAATAAATATCTACTTACTTAACAGCCATTACCAACATAAGCAACAGTGATTGCTCCAGTGTGCACAACTGTAGATTATGATAGGTCACTCCTGACGCCCTTACCCTTCGAAAGTCTAAATTGTCAAGATTCTCATTCATTAGGCTAAGATGTGGAAATCATTTCAACTAAATAACTAAAGTCATCTCATGCCAACATAGAAGGTTCTATTTGTGCTTTTTCTTACTCAATTCAAGCAAAGACATATTTATTAACTGACACTGGTGAGACACAGGACCTCTGTCCTCAAAAACTGATACAAAAATTGTACAAACAGCAAAAATACAAGGCAGAATAAGATAAATGTGATAAAAGGAGTACAAAGATATTTAACAGTACAAAAGGAGAGATTAATTTTCATTAGAAGTTTGTGGAGAAGCTGGTATTTGAGCTGCTATGTGAAAGACTGTTAGAAACTAGTGCAGGCAGAAATTATTCAGTGTGTACTTGTTTCCATAATTTGTAAATTTGTTTTGTGCTCATAGTTTCATTTTAGAGAAGTGAAGAGTGAAGCCATATTTCCAACATAGATGCTAACATCTCTAAAGGCAATTCATGTCTGTAATGCTTCTAGATGCCCTATGAGCTTGTCACATGAAGTGTTCTTGTCCTTATAGTTAGAACTAAATTATTCGGTGTGCTTTTTTTTTTAAATAAAGATCCAGGGACAGAGACACATTTTTTTAAAAGTGAGATTATGGTAAACTGAAGATTATTTACTTAACTTTGCTTTAGACTTGGTTAAATTGCCACTTCAGCAAGCATAATAAATATCACAGTGGCTGAATGGTGACTGGTATTATGCTAACATGTACTCATCTTCCCCTGAAGTGTATATACTTAAAACCACAGCTGTTCTTCATGTAAATTTCCTATTTATTAAAAGTAAAATTAAACTCTATTTTGTAAACCTGCTTGTGTATTTGACTCTTTGATAGAGTAGTCAATATAATAGTGTTAAAATTATCTAAAAAAAGAAAATTCTCTATTTTACAGCCCCATATCCACCTCGAAATATTTCTGTTCATTTTGTAAACTTGAACAAAAACAACTGGGAAGAACAGAGTGGCAGTTTCCCAGAAGAATCATTCATAAAATCACAAGATTCACCAGGAAAAGACAAACTCTTCCACTTCACAGACGACTCTCCAGAAATTCCCTCCGGCAACACTTCTTCCGGGTGGCCTGATTTTAACAGCAGTGACTATGAGACCACCTCTCAGCCCTATTGGTGGGACAGTGCATCCGCAACTCCTGAAAACAAAGATGAACTTGTGGGCGTCCTGCCCACGGAATATGGAAACCACAGCACACTCAGTGAGATGGAGAAGTTCACATCTGGCTCTTTTGCTTTCTTCCCTGTTCAAATGATACTGAGCTGGTTGCCACCCAAACCGCCAACTGCCTTTGATGGTTTCCATATTCTCATAGAAAGAGAAGGTAAAGCAGTAAGAAATCAGAGGAGATAAGAAATGACACAAAGGAAAGGAAATTCAAGTATTTTAAAATTTGAGTTTGGGAAGGAAGACAGAGTAGACAGTTACTATCTGAAGAAAAATGGTGAGAGAGCGAGAGAGAGAATTTAATTGAATATCCAATGAAGGCTAAGAACAGAAAGCCAAAAGGAAAACGTTAGGTCAGAGTGATTCACCAGTTGCAATTACTGGCAGTTGTACGTATTTCACTGCCCAACATTTCACATACCCAGGCCACTGATGAAAATCTATGTACACTGGTGCCTCGGTTCACAAATGCTTTGATTCACAAATACAAATGTTTGCCAACTTCACAAATGCAAACTCTGCATTGGGTGACAAACACAACTGTTGCCATGTTTCCCACAGAAATACAAGTGTGGTCTTTTCCAAAATCATAGATCGAACTATCATAGAATATTGCTGAATCTGCTGGAGAAATTTTGTTTTTTTATATGCAAATTTGTGAAGCATGCAGCAACAGAATCTCTCTGATAAAGTGATTATTCCTCCAAGGCTCTGAGACCTGCTCTTGCCTCTGCTTGCCTGGCTGTTCTTCATCTCCCTAGGATGCACCCCTTTGCATGCACCCCTCAAATTTTCCCAAAGAGGAGCTGCAAGTAAAATGGAAACTAGGCAGCAACTGATGTTACAGTGGACCTTTGACTTACAAACTTGATCGGATCCCAAGGGTTGGTTGTAACTTAAGTCAGTTGTAAGTCAATACAGTTGAGATCTGGATGTTTACCTGGGTACACACTATAGATAGCTAGAGGCAGATGAATCTTCCATTAACCTAATTAACCTAAGTTGTTCATATGTCAGGCCAATTGTAACTTGAGGGTCCATTGTACTATGATAGCTATTGCATAATAGGTTGTATTCACTTATCCAGCCTTTGAGATTCATTCTTTATGTTTGAGCCCATTAATTCATGAAAACAGAGCCATGCCACACCTTCATTGTTGTTTGGTAGATTTTTATGGTTATATTTGTTTGTTTTGCTTTTACAATAACATACTTCATTTTGTATTTCCCAGTCTAGTAATTTGGGTGCCAAAAGTTGTCAAATTGTCAAAATTTGAAATTAAAATGGCAGCCTTATTTTGATGATAGGACATTAGGATTATATAGTCACATATTTGTTTGCTCTATTTTATTTACTAGAATGAGATACATTTATGGATTCTTTTATACTAGATGATCGAGTAATCAACCATACCCAAATATTATATAAAATTGAAATCCTTTATCATTTCCAATTATCTGAGTAAAAACTCATTTGTGTGAAATTGCTTATTTTTAAAATCTGTCTCATTTGTCTATTCTTCAATTTATTCTATGAAAAATTGTACCTTGTAAGTCAGAATTTTTTTTTACTGCTGTTTTCCATGAAGGTTCAATCATGCTTTTGTCTCACTACAGTGGGTTCTTTCAAATATTCTTACAGTTACCAACTGATAATAATGACTTCAGCTAAAACAATATGCAGCAGGATATAGGCACTGAAGTAATGTAAAAGAAAATAATCCTTATTTTATAAAAGTTCTGGAAGCAAAAAGATAAAGGAAAATATGACATGCCATATTTCTCTGACTAAAAATAATTTGGTATATTTTAAATCATTTCTGAATATTTAACGCTACAACAAAGAGCTCATAAGACATTTGGTGTTAGTTACTTCTTATCTCTTACATTAGATGAAAAAGTTAATAATGGTTACCTTCTCCTAACATTTTATTTCTATCCTACATATAGTTTTATTGGGTAAAAGACATAAGAACATGCAATAGACCCATCCCTAGTTTTGTCGATTTGAATACTATATTTTAGCTTTGATATTTTAAAGTATTTGAGAAGAAGTTTGAACTCTTTTTCATCTTTTTTATACTTGTAGCATCTTTAGTTGATGAGGCTTAATTGAACTTGAAAGAACAAAGGAGCTATTGTGATAAAAACCTATATTTGTAATTAATCAGTTTGTCTATACCCAGGGCCCTCCCAGGTAAGAATTTACATTATATTCTTTTATATTATTTAGAGAACTTTACTGAATATCTGACAGTGGATGAAGAAGCACACGAGTTTATTGCAGAACTGAAGGAGCCTGGGAAATACAAGTTATCTGTGACAACCTTTAGTTCCGCAGGATCTTGTGAAACTCGAAAAAGCCAGTCAGCAAAATCACTCAGCTTTTATATCAGTAAGTAGCAAAGCAATTATTTTGCATTATAGTGGAGCTGGAACAATGAAAGAGGTGAGATTAATGATGCTTGGATGTCAATTATCCACAACCCTTAGGGATCTTGACAATTCTTCGAGGTCAGGAGAGGCCGAGATCCATGAGCTTTTGACAGCAGAAGAAATACATATATATGTTTAATGGTAACAAACTACCCAGGGATTTAACTTGAAGACTTTTTTTTTTGCTATTGTGATAATTGAACATTTATCAAACTGACCTTCCACACTGCCCATAACAAACTCTTCAATAACAAGGACACATAGTTTGGGAAATAGGACTTTTATTTGAGGCCATAATGAAATGTGATATTATAGAACTGTGTGGAAATCTCATTATAGTATTGAACTTGTCGAGCTCAGAAGACAAAGATTTAGGTGTAGTTACACTTGGGTGGTCTCCACGCAATTAACAGAAGAAAAACCTGGAGAATCCTAAAAGCCCCATTGACAAGTCTTAAGATGGCTTCTACTGATTCTATGTGGGGTAATCACAGAACAATGCTCAGCATCTCCAGCCTCAATTTATTTGAGCCTTATATGTCTGTAGCTCAACTCTATTTACTGGAAGTTTAGAGGCTAAATATCAGTGAGCAACTTATCAATAATTCAGTATTCCTCTTGATCAGCAAAGAGAAAAATAAAAAAACAGAAATTTCTCTCAGAAAAATATCTATCTTCTTTAACAGAATGTACCACTGTGCCTCCAGTAATCCTCCAAAGATGGACAGAAGAGGGAAAACAGGGACTGAGACAGATCAGTTTATGAAAAAGCTTAAAATGTTGAAACTGAGCCAAGGGTGATGGAACATGCCTATCATGGAAAGTTCAGGAATGTAGCTCTGTGGTACAGCATTTGCCTAGCATGTGCAAGCTGCTGGATTCAAAACCTAGGACTACCAAAAAGAAAAGGTTGAAAATGTCTCCATATAACATTTTTTCACTTCAAAAACCAAAAACAAATCCAAGTATGATAGTTCGTGCACTCTGGGAGGCTGAAGCAGGAGGATCAAAAGTTCAACCTCAGCCTGGGCACCATAGTAACTTAGCAAGACCTTGTCTGGAAATTAAATATTAAGAGGGGGGAGAGGGATATAGGTCAGTGCAAAGAAGCTAAGTTCAATCCTTAATGCCAGAAAGAAAAAAAGTCACCACTAGTGAAAAGCCTGAAATATCCAGCAGACATACAGAAAGGATTTTGGTAATTACCTTGCATGAATTTCAAGTATGAGAGATCTTTGATGTGAGATCACTTGGAAAAAAAGAACAAAGCTGAATATTCACTTCTTCCCATGAGACTACAAAGGCTTTGCTGACCAAGAAATCTCCTCTTGTTCCAGTGCAGACCAGCTCAAGTTAATGTCTCCCATTAAAACTGCTCTATGAGGGCAGGGATTTAGCTCAGTGGCGCCGCCACCTGCCTCCCAAGCGCAAGGTCCTGAGTTCCATCCCCTAAAACAAAAAAACTTGCTGTATATGGCTTTTCTCTTCTCTGAATTGCATTTCATAGCATAAACACAGAACTTTGTGTGGATTATTTTTCTAGACTTAGTTCATTTGTGTACATCTTGCTTCTCACACCAAATTATGAAATCCTAGGCTGGGGTTATACTATTTGTGTATTTATTCCTTCTTTTATACATTTGACAACTATTTATTGAGTCACTTCTATCTGTCAAACATTCTTCTCTTCTTGAGTATCCAGAGTAACTAGTAAAATTCAGAATATGTCAGAATTGCTCAAATATATGATTATGTTGAAGACATTCATCTTAATATCACCAAGAGAAATACGGGCCACTAGAAATCTTTCTCTGTGCCAATAAAAAAAATGATATTTTAAGTGCTTAAAATATTCCATTCAATGGTAATGAGCTGTCAAGTTTACAATATACATATATTCTTGGTTATAAAAATATGTTGTAGATATGAATGCTTATACTTAACTAGGTAGGTGAGCAACAAATTAGGATGATTTAATTTCATTCTATATAGTGTGGTCATGCAACAGCTAACATTTGCAGCCCCTTTCCTGACCAAGCTCTTTCAGTCAATCCACTGTTGAGTTGCATTACAATTTACGTGTCAAGCATAATGGCGCACGCCTGTAACTCCAGCACTCAGGAGACTGAGGCAGGAGTATTGCCACATGTCCAAAGCCAGCCTGGGCTACATAGTGAGTTCAAGGGCAGCCTGAATCCTCTCTCAAAAAAGAAATGACATGTATGTATTGCACTATAATTTTTAATTACTCAGCATTGAAGTCTTTCCCAGAGATGAGAATTAAGTAGGTACAATAGTCTCAGACAGTCTTATGAATGGAACATTTTATTATCCGCATTTTTAATGTGAAAAAAACTGAGTCACAGAAGATTCAATGGCTTTCCCACATGTGAGAATGGGGAGTAGACTTTAGGAATATTTGACGATGAAGCCCATTCCGATGCACCTTGCCAAGCACTTGTCTTTGTGACAGTGGGCAGGTCACTCAAGTCTCTGAACCTCAGTTTCCTCATCAGTCAAGTTATTTTCTATCCTAAAACCTCATGATTTGTCCATTTGACAGATGCAGTTTCTGAGATTCAGACATTAAATCATTTGACCAAGATTTGCCTATGAGCAAATTTGAGTCTTGAGCCAATTTTTCTATTTCCAAGCCAGTGCTTTTCACTATTTCATCTGCCCCGGGAAGCCCCAGGCAGGCTTGAGAGCATGGATTTTGGAATCAGACTTCCTGTGTGTGTGAATCCCAGCTCTATTTCTCCTAACTGTATTGAGATTTAATAGACTTACAAGACTTAAAGGATTAAAATATGCACATATATATAAATGTAGAGCCTAGTATATAATGCATGCTACATCTCTTTGTCCTCATTGTTAACATTTGTTACTGTTACCCTCTTACACCATTTAGAGCAAACCAGCCTGAGTCTGCTCTCCCCGACCAAAACACTGGCTCCTTTCCTCTCCTGGGTTTGAGAAATGCAGCTTTCTAATAAGGGATGGAAAAATGCGTCCTGAGCAAATAGGAGAAAGTTGTGTGCTTGTATTTCTTGAGTCCTTGCTATACATCAGGCACTGTTCTAAGCAACACTTCAGAAACCTAAGATAACAGGGCCTATAATAAACACTTCTATGGAGATATTAGGAATCCACCTTGTCTCCCAAATATAGCCCAGGTTTTAGCCAGCGTATTTAATTGATCCAGCCTGTTGCCTGGTTCTTGGCTCATGTAGTCACAGCCTACCTCTTTGTTCCCATTGCTACCACCTTTAATTTTTTTCACAGGATTGTAGCAGAGGCTAATTTGACTCTCAAACCCATCATTTCTAGAAACCAAAGCTCCTTATAACAAAGGAGTCAGGAACACCCATGTGCCATACCCACTGTGTTAAAAGAGAAGTAAATGCTCTCTAGTGAAGATTTTACCAGAATACTCCCAGACAGCTGAAGTGGAGCTTGTCTCTCAGCAAAACCATTCCATTGTTGTTGCTGTGGATGCTTCTGTTGTTTTGTTCAATGAGGAGATGTGGGACCGAGTAAGGTAGCTGGGCAGAGGATCAAAGGAGTCACTGGTGTGACACCAGTCTTCCTTTGAATATCTTTGCAAAGACTATCAGAAAACAACACAGCTTTAAAAACTGGACTTTTATCTGAATCAGCTCAGAGTGACCTTCCCTTGTGTTCTGATTGCAAATGTTCAGGTCCTAATGGAGAGTGGATTGAAGAATTGACTGAGAAGCCCCAGCATGTGAGCGTTCATGTTTTAAGTTCCACCACTGCCTTGATGTCCTGGACGTCCCCCCAGGAGAATTACAATAGTACCATTGTGTCTGTGGTGTCCTTGACCTGCCAGAAACAGAAGGAGAGCCAGAGGCTTGAAAAGCAGTACTGCACCCAGGTAAGGGACGACCCCACTGAGTTACAGCCTCCTGGGAGATGCAAGGAGACCACTGCTGAGTACTGAGCAGAAGCTAGATCCTGGTGTCCACTGGACAGGGTCCAAAGGAGGTTTCCCCAACTCAGAGACGGGGAACCCGGATTCATCCTGTCCATAAGGCAGGTTGCAGATTCGCCAACTGTGGTCACAGAAAAAGAATTTTCAGGACACATCTGTCAGAGGCATAAAGGGATTTATTATGCAAAATTTAAAGTACACACTCAGAGAAAATGGTGTGGACCTTTGAGACAGGTACATTATAGTCTGAAGCTAGGAGTATTTATTTATGTGTTTGTGGCAGTAGGAATCTGTTCAATGTGTGAATCTACAGGAAGTCTGGGCGAGGCTAATAAGAGAAAAGCAATGGGCCACCCACAGAAAGATAATGGCTCATTTTAGGGGTGAAAGGATGGTCCATTTTTATAGAAAAAAAGCATGAGCTCAGTCTACTGCTTGGTTTTTTTTTCCATTTAGTTTATTGTTATATTTTAGGTATACAATAGTTACATTCAACATTGGGATCTTGAACCTTTACATGACATATCTTGGTTCTTATTTTTTCCCCATTCTCCTGCCCTCCCTTCACCCCTCCACCATTCCCTATTTACAAAGGTTTTGTTTCCATGTTTTTCCTTTTCTCATATTTTTTCCTTTTCCCTTCTTTCCTTTCCCCTACCCCTCCCACTTCCCCTACTCCTTTAAACATATTCTTCCTATTTCACAATATCAGTTATACGTTTTTATTCTTATTTACACTATTGCTCGTTTACTTTTCTTTTCTTTTTTTTAAGATCAGTGATCTAAGATATTTTGCCTTAAAAAATTCTTTGAAACCTTTGCATGTTTCTCTTAAGGTCCGGTCTCTGCCCTTTATCTTATCAACTAAGCTAGTTTTATCGACTTATACTATCTTTAAGGGATTTTGAATATGATGGTCTTAGAAGAAAGGAGGTATAAACAAGGATGGATAACTTTCTGAGTGTGTCCTGAAGGTGAGATCATATGAGTCCGCAAAAGAAATTGCATAGGGACTGAGGGTGAAGAGGATTTTACAAACTGCCTGGGAAAACTTGCCAGGGGAGGAGAGAGACAACCAAGAAGAGGGTTGAGGTTTTATCTTTTCTATTCTGTTTCTTTTACAAAAAAACAGTTTCCTTTTTAAAAAACTATAAAAGTAATGCATGCTTGCTAAAAAGAATAATTTGGAAGTTAAACCCTTATACAGTAACCCCCCCTCACAAGTGATAAAAGTTTTGAAGGACAATGGGAGTGAACCAATCACAGGGACGACTAGGGGGCAGGTGAAGGAAGACTGTATAAATCAGCAGATAAATCCACAGTGCCTGCCGTGAGGGGCCTGAATGAATGCACACACCCCATCTCCATTCCCGAACCACAGGGTACAAAGTGAGCCGAGAGCAGACCTTAACTTCAGACAGATGCCCTAAGAATGTAGAGCCCAGTCCTATTTTCCTAAAATTTGGTTTTCTTTTTCCATAAAGCAACATTTTTGTGTCTTATAAACACATTGTTGTCTTCCCTAAAGGAAAAAAAACTGAATTATTTATTCATGTGCAGAATGTTTAGATATTTCCATTTCTTCCATGGAAATTAGGCATTGATGATGCTTTTTAGTGAGTGATGTTAAGTCGGTAAGATAGGTGCAGGAATCATGGCCTTTGCAGCAATGAAAACTGTAGAGTGCTGAGATAAACTCTGGCTTGAGGGTGAAGCCACCACCTGACTTGAATGAAATTAAGCAGTAAACACTCTAAATCAATTAACTAATAATCAGTTCATTGTGCAGCTCATTGTCTTCCTGCCCTACCATTCCCAGGATAACTGCCTCATTACACTGACAGAAAAATGTTTGTTGCAGAGACAACGACCCAGAACTGAAATGACCAAGGTTCATGGCTTTCCTGCCCCATCTCATGTACAAAATGTGTATCTTTGGCAGAGAAGCCAAGAGCTACAGGCCCAGCAAGATCTTAAAAATTATATGTGAGCCAGGAAAAGGCTAATCTGTGTTCACTTTATCAATGCCCTCTCAAAATGCAAACATGAAACTGGTAAGGTGTACAGATGGGCAAAGGGGCTAATATTTAAAGTGAATTGTGGGAACTAGAATACCATGAGTGTCATTGCAGTGACCACAACACTTTTTTGAAGATTGTATTATTGCATTATTTTATTGTTATGCTACTCTTACTCATAGCACCACTACACACACACACACACACACACACACACACACACTCTTCAAATGTGGAAGAAATGGTTTGAAGGGAAGCAAAGGAAAGGGAAGAAGAAAAGAATCGTGTACAGGTACAAATTCCTTATGATGAATGTCATCACATTGTACATCTAAAATGTACCCAAAAAATTAGTTTGAAAAAATAATAAAATTGCCAGATAAAAAAGAACCAGCCCAGAGTTATGTGCCCATTAAACAAAGAAATGTATAAGATGATCTTGCCAGGATAGCTCAAACTAGAGCTAGGGGACTAAGCCCTAAAGAAATCACTAGCTAACAGGAAAATAATAATGATATTTCTTTAGTTCTATATTCAGTGGTACTGTATTTATATAAAACAGAAAACCCAAAATGTAGCTCTAAAATAAAGGTGATTCTGAAGCCAAATACCTGTTAATACAGGTTGAGCATCCCTTATTGAAAATTGAATTTTTGGGCCCAGGATTTAGCTCAGTGGTTCCACCGCCTGCCTTGCAAGAGTAAGGACCCGAGTTCGATGCCCAGTACCAAAAAAAAAAAAAAAAGAAAAGAAAATTGAATTTTTTGATTTTATAATATTTGAATATTATGACGAGAGAGACAGAGACACAGAAGAGAGCCAGGGATAGAGACTGGGATAGAATGTAAGTTTATAAACAAAATGTATTGATGCTTCTTTTTTAAATCAATTTTGTAGGTACATTTTAGGTATACAATGTGATGACATTCATCATTGGAAATTTGCACCTTTACATAATCTCTCTTGGTTCTTATTTTTTCAACATTCCCTGCCCTCCTTTCAACCTCTCCATCCCTCCCTATTTACAAAGACTTTGTTTCCATTTTTTCATTTTCTCATATTAATTCCATTCCCTTCTTTCC